GAGAGAGAGAGAGAGAACTGGCAGACCGACCATATCGCGCGTAGACCCTCGGTTGCGTACCAGCAGCCTCGCGGAGCAGAATGGGCGTGTCTGGGTTGTGCTTCTTCATCGTTGGGTATGTGCGGGCGAGGAATGATCTGATATGCGTTGCCCATCAGCACTATTCCTGCTCCTGGGTCCGGTGGTTCGCGCAATCGATTTTCCCTTCGCATTCTATTTCAAAGCCTCCTTCCTTTGCCCCCAATCCAGATTCCAGTCTAATCCGTGATCAACTCACCTCGTCGCGCCGCTTTGCTCGCCCGTCTGGCAAAACAGAAATCGCACCTCCTTCAGCGTCTGCGAGAAGGCATGTTTGGCCGACATTGTTGCGGGTTGTTTGACTTAGTCGACCACTTAGATAAACCTGGCTCTCGAGTATCGATTGGTCTGGCTGTTGTTGCTTCGACTGGTGGTGTTGTGATGGAATCTGATAGTCGTTGTAACAAGTAAATATGTAGTTGTTATATCACTTGCCCAAGCAGCTCAGGTGGGGCTAGTTTGATCCGATAAGTAAATATGATAGGCCGTGCGAGCAAACCCTATTCCAATTTGCATTTCAACATTTTCCTACAATCGGGAATCCCTTCACTTCCTTATGACCCTACCCCTACTCACTCACTCACTCACACATACACTCTCTCTCCAATTCCAACCGCCTGGATTCCCTGAATTCCTCCCACCGAAGCCTCCCCAACCTCCCTCCCGGCTTTCTCGAGCGCACACAACAAACCTTGAGCTCCAGCATCAAACCGACCGACTCACCTCATAATGCCTGCACCCAGCACCCTCTTTCGCGCTGCGCGCCCAGCCGCCTTCCGCAACTCCCCTTTCTTCACTCAACAAGCACAATCGACCATCTTCCGCTCGGCGCGGACTCGGTTCCTGCAGGGCCAGCAGGGAGGAAACGCGGGGAGGAGATGGCAGAGCACTGCTGCGCCTGGGGAGACCCAGAGCTGGTTCAAGAGGATGTGGGATAGCCCTATCGGCTTGAAGACGGTGCATTTCTGGTACGTTTGACTCTCTGGCGGAGGAGCGAGAGAAAAAGACAGATAGACAGACAAGATATAGAGAGGCAGGGAGGGAGGGAGGGAGGAAGGGAAAGAGAGACCATCCAGGTTGGATTTGAGAATGGAATGCTAATTGCGACTCAATAGGGCGCCGGTGATGAAGGTATACATACAGGCTATTTTCGGAGAGGACATACCCAACAGAAGCTAACTAGACCAGTGGTCCCTCGTCATCGCAGGAATCTCCGACATGTATCGGCCCGTCGAGAAGCTGTCTCTCACTCAGAACCTCGCCCTTACAGCCACCGGTCTGATCTGGACCCGGTGGTGCCTGATCATCAAGCCTAGAAACATCTTGTACGCCCCCCCTCCTCCCCTTTCCCCTTATTTACCTATCCATCTATCCACCTCCAGCGGTGAAGCCGAGAACATGTAACGTGCCTGACAATCGCATAGGCTCGCAACCGTGAACTTCTTCCTCGGCTTCGTCGGCGTCATCCAAGTTACCCGTATCGCGTTGCACAACTACGCCGGTGGTAAGACCACCACCGCCCAGATCGAGGAGGCTAAGGAGAGCGCTGTCGAGACCGCCGGAGGATTGAAGGATGAGGTTGTCAAGGCTGTCAAGCCGTAGATATCACGCCGGGCCGACAAGCTATTAAGCATCGAGAAGCGGAAGATGGAGGATAGTCGATGGCGGACGTGTACGGGAGGTGGAGACATGGCCCGAATCATTGAATGCAGATGAGTGATTGGGCCTAGTGGGCATCCTCATTGCATTTTCCTTTCTTGAAACGGTACCTGTCATATTTGTGCATGAAATCAAGGCAGTTCAGAGGAAAGGGGTAGAAAATCGATTCTCCATGACTTGATGAAAAGAATTTCCGCAGCACTTGAGTCCGGCTCTCACTTTTGTTTATGGTTTACGACTTCCATCTCTTTATGCGTGACCAAGTCTTGCTTAAGCTGTCTGGAGACATGAAAAGCCGGTAGAATTTTGACTAATGGATCTGAGATTTATTTTTACCTGTTCTATTGGCAGGCGTATTCAGGAAACTCACAACTCCTTCAAAAATCAAACAAACACTATTAACAATTATCAACTCGAGCCGGCATCATGACAGAAGATCATTTAGAGATCCTGCATCCATGTGTTGTAGACGCCCGCCGCCAGACTCCTATCAAGCGCAATATATGCATGCAAAGAACTCCAAACCAGCGACCCTGAGGCACCGTAGTGTACAAATACAGAAATTCTCCCAGCCCAATCATCCGAGTAGCAACGCCAGTGATATGATCTCCCTATCGTAACATCCTTCTTCCCAACTAGAGCCATATAATGCAGACTGCCTTCCACGTACACGGGTCCAGCCCATCCTCCCTTGCTTCACGAATAGCGCAATTAATTCATTATCCCCAAAGATCATCCGGCCCATCAAGTCATCTCTACTTTGTACACATCGTCCCTCACATAACAGCACACTCTCCTTCATTCTGCTTTCCAACCTTAGATCGCGAGATACGTTCTCTGGATGTGGGGCCAGCCTTGCCACCGCCTCTCTTGAGATCCTCCAGCCTCTCACGGGCTTTGGGGAAGTTTTGTGCTACGAATTTTTTAGCACGACGTTCGTGGAAGCAATATCAGATCGCATATGGGGGGTAAGATATCAACATACCAGCAGCTCTCCAGTACCATCTCTTTGCATCCTCCAAGTTTGCCGGACTCCCGATTCCAACCTCGGTGAAATAACCCATTGCATACTCCGCCTTGGCCAACCCAGCCATAGCCGCCTTCCTCGCCCAGAGATAAGCCTCCGTGTCGCTCTGCTGCAGCACGCCTTCGCTGCCTGTCAGGTACCAACCCGAAAGCGCGAGTTCACTCTGGTGCTCCTCTTGCGCCGCGGCCTTTGAGTACCACATTATACTCAGCCTGGGGTCGATCGGGCACCCAAACAGTCCGTACTCGTACGCGGCACCGAGACGAAATTGAGAGAACTTGTAGCCGAGGTCGGCAGATTCGCTGAACAGAGAGAAGGAGTACGCTTCGTCGCGGACGATGAAGCTATCCCCTCCTTGTGGCGCTTCGTACAGGAGACCGAGTTCGTGCAAAGCGTGTGGATTCTCAGCATCTGCGCGCTCGGCCGCACGTTTGAGCCAACCGACAGCTTCGCGAGGATTCTTCGGCTGCCCGAGAAGACCCTTAAGCTGGATCATACCCATCTTGTACATGGCTGGCGTATCGCCCAGCAAGGCGGCACGCTTGTACCATTGGATCGCTTTCAGGGGGTCCTTGCGGGTTCCTCCGCCTTCATCATTTCCAAGTTCGCAACAAACAGCTGTGCGGTAGGCGGCTGCAGGGTGGCCAGCTTTGGCGGCGTTTTGGTAAAGTGAAAAGGCTTCCTTGTTGTCAGGTGCGAGGCCGAGGGCGCCACGGCTGTAGCAGTCGGCGAGGTAGAACATGGCTTCCACATTTTGCTGGTGGATGAGCTTTTTGATTATCTTGTGAGCGTCCATGATGTACCTTTCGCGCATCTTGGCTTGAGCTCGCTTGTCCGGGATTCGGGGGGCCAGCACATCTGCAGCATCTACTAGTCGGCGGGCGAGCAGCATCGCGGAAGTTTGATCAGCTGGATTATTCTTTACAGTCACTCTCAACTGCTCGAGCTCTGCGGAAGTGACCGTAGATGGGTCGTCGGGCTTGACAGCGTTGACAGCGGGAGAAGCTCCATCCATTGGCGGTGGCGTCTGTTGCAGTTGCTGGGTAGTCGTGATATTGCTGTAGTTTCGAACCGGAGGTGGCTTGTGATTCGCTTGGCTGGCAACTGAGTTTGCTGTTAAGCCAGGACGAACTGGTACTGGATGACAAGGTAAGCTGTCGGCGGATGATTGAGTGGGCATTGCGTTTGTTCTTCCCATTTGAGGGTTGGGACCTGGCTCTTGGGCAAAACCATTGAATCCGGGTCTGGGTCCATTTGACAAGGAACCCAGAGGAGGCCCACGCCCGGATCCTGGAGCTGCTGACTGGCTGCGAGGCGGAGGTACAAAACCATTCTGTTGTGGTGGATCGTCAAATCCACCATAGCCCCTGGAACCTTGATGATACCCATTCCCATAACCATCATCCCGAGCATAATCGTCTGGCATGGGAGGCGCATCACCAGCCATTTCAAAAATCGCTGACTGAGGTTGAACCTGGTGTCTAAAATCTGGTTGAGACTCCTTGGGCCTCATCTGGTTATAAGTATTCTGCTGCGGCGGCTGAATATGCGCATCAATCGAAGTACCTCTCCTGTGCAATCCAGGAGCAACAGGAGCATCATCAAAATTTGGCATTTCCGAAGCTTCAGAGTCAGGTCTCCCTTGGCGGGGTTCCTCATAGTAAGCATCATAAAGGTCGCTTACACTCTCTCGATAGTCGTAATTTCCATCCGAGTGACGTGCGTTGTTGGTATATGGATCTGCAGTAGGCGGCTGGGTCGTATATGATCGTTGAGGAGGTGGTCGGTTTCCGTTCGCGGTACCAGGTCTTTGGGCTCCTCGACCTACCGGGCCGCTGTATGGCGCACCTTGACCCAGTCCGCCCATTGGAGGCTGACGCCCTTGTGGAATCGGCGCTTCGCTCGGCATATTCATGCCTCGGGAAGGTGGTCCGTAACCTTCGCCTCCCCATCCGTTTGCGCCTACGGGACCCCCATATCCGTTTTGTCTCGGTGCACCATAGCCGGGACTGGATCCATGTGGACCTCTGCGAGGTTCGGAATATCCTTGTTGAGGTGGTCCTTGAGAAGGATATCCTCGGCCCGGTCCGCTTCTCGAGCTTTCTACCGAACTCCGTCCATAATGGTCTGGTGGAGGCCGCCGTTGATTATCCAAGGAAGACCGTCCAGAGTTGTCCACCGATGAGCCCCTGAGCGGATATGCTCCCTGACCTTGGCTACCAGGTCCTCTCGGCCTATTCTGCGCTGGTGGCCCTCCGACTTCCATGGCTGCCATTTTCTGCAAGATGTCTTGCTCTTCCGAGATTGATGTCTTCTTCTTTGCGCCTGGGAATGTAGGGAAAGGGCTATCCCAAGCAGCTTGTTCTGGAGACATGAGTGGAGACTTGAGAGGTTTGCGAGGCATAGCTTGTCCTTGTATTTGTCCTCGCGCTGTTAAGTCAGAATGCGCCAGGCCCCCAGCAGGTATTACTCACATGTAGGATCAGAATTTCCTCGTCGGTTGAGAGGACCAGGTCTGCCTCCTCTTCCAGCTGGGCCTCCGTTTGGATATCCCCTGCCTTGCCCACCACCTCGCGAATCATACGCCCCTCTGGGCCCGTCGCCGGTCGGTGGTCTCTGCATAGGGGGTCTCTCTCCAGGCCCAGCTCTGCCTCCTCCTCTTGGTGGCAGCATCCCCCCTCCCCCTCTGCCGCTCTCGTTCCCGTAGTACTCTTGCTGAGGAGGGTAATTGTTATTGTGCGGCGGATATCCATTCCCTCGCCCCCCACCAGCCAGCCCCTGATATCCCCCATCGTGGCCCTGATATCCTCCACCGTAGCCCTGATCCTGCGCATGCCCATTGCCATAATCGTCATAGCCGTGGCCATCGTCCTGGTATTGGTCGTACAGTCGAGGAACATATTGACCCTGCGGCGCTTGGGGCTGCGAGGAACCTTGCGGAGGTCCGGCTCTCTGCGCTGCTCGCCCGTCGTAAGGTCGTTGTGGGGGCTGGTAGTAGTTTGGATCGTAGGCCATAGTGGTGGCGTTTGGGGAGCCGACGTTTGAATGATATCGAACCGCGCGGGCAACCTCTGTGCCTGGCCAAGAAGTTTATTCCTTCCCTCCCTTGCGATGCCCTTCCCAGGTCTGATATTGTGATTGATAGATTTGAGGTAAGAAAAATGCGTATCAAAGTGGCGTTTTTGTGATGGATCTCTCGGTCCTGCTTTGTTGTCTGTTGTTTGTTGGGTTGTAATTGAGGAGGAGCAGGAGGAGCAGGAGGAGGAGGAGGAGGCTAGCGCCAGCCTTGGGCACCTCGCTCCGTTACTAATATAACAATCAGCCAAAAACCCAGCAGTCAAGTCAGTTAATTCAAGCTTTGTACGACTTTGCATTTGACATTAGCCTTCGAATATATACGATAGATAATAGTAGGACTTGACTTCGCAGCTTTAAGGGCCCTATTTTACAGTGGACGAAACAATTATATCCCGCGAAATAATTATATATCGCGTCGCTTATAAAATGGCGGAGAAGCCAGATATATATTTTGATTAAAATATTAACTACATGACTTGATAAATGTATATTTATATTTATTATTATTACATTATTAGATCTGAATCAAGCTGAAAAAGAAAATTTATTATATCGCATGTCTTTCGAATTGAGTTGAGAGAAGCTACAGATTAAAGTATCACGGTACGAGAGCAAGGTCTTCGAAGTAGGTCTAAATTGTGTACGAGGGGTGGAAGAGATACTGTGGAGGGAAAGAGCTCCAGCATATACCTGATTGCGAATCAAAAGATATATAAGAATATAATCATAGTAGAATCGTAGGTAAAAAACAGGGAGAAAGGAAGATATTCGAATAGCACTCGAATAAGTTTTGTATATACCTTAAAGGCAGGTAGGGGGTCATTTGAGCGGTCCTTTGACCCTCTTTTATAAAAGACGATTATTGGACCGTTTAAAATCAGTACTAGTTACAAATCAAGAATAGTTCACCTTTTTGATCGTCCCCGAGCTTAGGACCGTCCCACGGCCGTCCTATGGCCGTCCCCGTCTATATTTTTAAAACAGGCTTATTAATAAGCTCGTTTAAAAAATTGAAATAGTTCGATAATAATTTTAAAGAAAATATAATTATAAATAAAAATCGTTTTTTAAATAAAATCGTTTTAAGAATGATTTAATAAATTCAATGCCAAGATATTTCTCGGTATCGCTGCCACGGCTTATATATCAACGCTTTAAATTTTTTTTAATCGGAATCGATCGATTGAGCAAAAGTTCACCCGCGCACGTTATGCTCAGTATCACTTGCTAGGAGGGGGGGGGGGGGGGGGGGGATAGAGGGTAGACTGCCTTGCAATTGAAAGAAAATACAA